ACTTTGGGATTCCAAGCCACAAAGCGGGCATGGCTGAGACCAAAGTTCGTCTCGATGATTTCGCACGGTTTTTTGATCCAACTGGTCGTGTTGGGCATGACGAATTTGTTGCAGTTGGAAATGATACCTGGCTGGCGGTATCTCCAGACGGCCACGCAGTATTCAGTTCCTGTATCGTGACGAAAAACAACAAGATTAGCACACACACTGACCACCCACAAGAACGGACCAAAGATACACTTACCTGCTGTGTAGTTTCCGCAGTCGGGTCCCACACTAGGATTCCACGCCACAAACTCGGCCATATCAATTCCCTGAGTTCCGGAAAACTGACTGCACGTGTACCCCGGCGTCGCGAGTTCCTTGCAAATGCAATACTTGGTAGCTTGTTCTTCTTCCTGCAGATAGTGTTGCACGCAGTAGCGGTAGTCTGTGGTGACTTCACACGAGGCTTCGCTGGTGCCTTCTAGTGTGGGATTCCACTCGATAAGATCGCTGACACTCACGCCATATGCACGCGCAATATCGGAACATCGGGTTGACGTGTTTCGGGTAATGGAATTGAGCAGGAGTGGCGGGTTGAGATAGTGGGCGCAATCCATCAAGGTGCCGTTAGCAATGGGCATCATGCTAGGCCGAGCCGTGGTCGAGTTGCTGGTCATGGTGGCTGTGGCGGTCTCGGCAGGTAAATCCGCGGTGCCGAACGGGGTCCAGTTTCTGGTGTCTATTTCTGTGCTGTTGCAGCGTGTATGGTTAGATGGTGCGGTGAACCCAAAAAGAAAAGAGAAATAGAAAAAAAGAAAGGAATTCAGAAACCCAAGTGGCAGGCCCGGGGAAAGAATACTTACATGGTAGCGCTTGCACTCTCAGTAGGTTCAGGATTGAGATCAACCCATCCACCTCCGGGGTTGACTTGCAGATAACATGGCTCACATAGTCTTGGAGGTTGTCACAGTTGACTCCCAGTTCAGGATTCCATGATACCAGTCTGTTCCAGGTTGTATCAACGGAATCGGCAATGCTCACGCAAGTATCATCCTCCTTTACAGTATATGGCGTGCATTGTCGGTTATTGTGGCCGCCTCCGTTGCAGCGGAGGGTCCTTTAACGCGGCGAGACTTGATGGGAACGATGGGATTTCAAATCTTCGACAACTTTCTCGCTGATCGCGGCATAGCACTGGCAACCCTCATCAACAAGGACGTGGAACAAGTCACGGTTGTTAACAACGAGTTGAATTAGCGTAGGCTCTATCTCCAACTGCGATTTTGACTTGAACTCTTCCACCTTGCTCAGTACATCTGTTTGCTCCGTGGCCCGACGTCGCACCGGAGCTATTCTTTTCCC